TGGATGGATTCGGAGGGGAGTCGCGAATGTCAGAGTCACGTAGTCTAATATGGGACTAAATATCACGTAGTCTAATAGGGGTAGCCCCTAAAAATATAGAGCACTCCAGTACTGTGTGTGAAGCTAGGCTTCTGACTTGGATGCTCTGAAATATGTGCCTTTTGAGTCCAACAGTGCATGTTCCCTTCCTTCATTATTATAAACCGTGAGGGTTAATTTCTGATTTGTTTGTTGCTATAATTGTGTCTATGTGAACAAATGTACTGTGCTGTACATTGGCAAAAGACCACAACTCGTTTCTTCCTCTTCTCTCACCCTGTACCTTCACTTCTTCCCTATCTTGCGTTCATCCCGTCGTACGTCTGCTCTGATGTCTTTTCTCTCCCTGTTTCACTAGCTGCACCAGTGCCAGTCTGGGTTGTAGCTGGCCTGGGTGCAGACTGGTTGAAGTAGATGTTTTGAGTGGCAGCTGCTTCTTACCTTAACATGGGCACCAGACCAATGCAAGGCTGCATGAAAGCCAATGGACTGGTTTTGGTGGTGGTGGTAGGTGGGTTTTGTCTGCTCTGGATGAGGCTGAGTGTGACCAGCCAGGTAGAGAAAGAGGAAAACTGCATTGCAATGGAAACTGTAGAAAGAGACAGTCCCCAAAGAGATGCCATTGGGTAAGTTGGAACATCCGTGGGCATCAGTGCCTATTGCTTCCAGTGGATGCAGCCTCTGTTTTCCTTTACTTTGATGTTAACAGGGTAAATACTTTTCTCTTGCAACACCTAATAGTCCTAATAGTTTTATACAGCACATTTGGGGATTGCTTTTTTCTTCTGTACTCTCATTACGTGCATAACAATTACTTGTAATAGTTTGTAGTGATCCTGTGATGTTTTTATAATTGGATCTGTCTTGCCCTTACTAGCTCCCAATTTATAGCTCCAGTTTTTATTCCTAACTGTATGTTCTTACATTCCCTGAGAGTAAAGTTCATTTTCTCTATTAAATCAGTGCTTTTGTTTTCTCTTTCTGAGTAACAGTCAGGTTCTTGTTTGAATTATTGATGTTCCTGACTCTGTCATCAGAAGTTTCCATTAACATAGTCCCACTGTATATTGCAATATAAGCATAAATTTAGACTTCAGTTTTTAAATATGATGCCTTGTCCGTGGAATGAAGAAAACTAGGGGTATCTTAGAGGACGAGTTTTGGGAGCAATTAATGTAAAAAACTTTTTGTGTCAAAAATGTCAAGATGATCTAAAGATAAAATTGAAATGTATGTGTCATTTTCAGTGTTTTTAAAAATTTTCTTAATGTTAATTATTTTTAGCTTTTAAAGTATTCTTTCTTGAGAAGTCTTATTAGTAGATTCCTTGTTGCTGCTGTCAGTTTCTCTTTCCTTCTGTTTTTTTTTTTTTGTTCTCAGTGTAGGTATTACATTTGCTGGTACTTGTCATAATAATTTTGGGGGTTACTTCAATAAAGTTTGCTTGCAGTTTCAGTTAAGTTTTGTTTGCAGTACTAGCTCTTCAAAATTCCAGGGTGTGGACCGTTTGGTCCTTTGCTTTCATTGTGCTTAGATTACACAAGTGAGTTTTTTTTCTAGGTTGTTTTGTTCCATTTTCTGCTCTTATACTATCATTTTCTCAAATATAGAAACGGTATAGCGATGGAGCTCCTAGTCCTGATCTTTAGTTTGGACATTAGTAATTACAACATTTAAATCTTGTATTTTCTCCTCTTTCTAGAGAGATATTTGAATGGACCAGCAGACTGAATGAATACTTGTCTTCTTATTTGGGTGATGGATAAATTCCAAGAGCATACAAGCGACTCTTTCCTGGTCTAAGTACTTTAAGCATAAAGGCATGTTTATGTAGGAAACCAAAAGTAGTGTAGCAAAAGGTATGTAACTGAATCATGAAGTGTATTTTCTCCTTGGTTTCTTTGTGTGTGGTATTAAACTATTTAACATAGAATGGAAATGACAGATTACCTGTAAATACCTCATGGACATCATAATAATTCAGTATTCGGTCTGAGATCTTGGCCATACCAAATTATTGTAAAAATGTCAGGTGGGAAGTTTATTGCATTTCTGCATTTGCTTTGAATTATGTTCATTGCACTTAATGAAAAGAGTTGCATATTATTTTTTCTTTATCATTTAGATGCTGTGTCAAAGAAAATTAATGAGGAAATTATTAGACACTGTATTTTATATAAGTCAACAAATATCTAGAATAGCAATTAAATGCTCTTTGTAATGATGTAACAATTTTTAACGTCTGTGGTGTTTCATATAATAAATGCTATTGTCTGTAATGCTTGGTGGTATGAGGTGTCTGACCTTCAGTCAGCTGAAATCAGGCTATAGTTTGAACAGAACGTTAAGATAGGACAAGTAAAAAAAGCTGCTCAGAGAAGCACTCTCTTTCTCCCTGGTGACGCAAATGTACACATCTGCGTGGTGAAATGGTTGGGGAACTTACCTCATTTAAAAAGAAAAAAGTTTTTTCCTATGTTAATTTTCAGTAGAATCAGTATCTTGAGACAGTTTATTATTCTGCTGTATAAAAAGCTGCTTGAACTGAGAGAGATGAGAGAAGCAGAAGAGGCAGAGGGAGGAAAGACTGCTCATCTGCGTTCCAGTGCCAGTTCTTGTGTCGTAATTTAACAGTCTTTATTTCATTGAGTTCTCTGTAGATTCTTCAAGTTACTAATCTTAAAACATTTAAAGAGAGAATGTGGAGCAAGACCTACAGAGAAGCTCTGGGAGGGCCTGAGGGCTTTAATGAAGTGTCCCTGTGGGGCCCTGAGGCTGTGCAGAGCACAACTGGAACCGCTGTGCTGATCCACCCAGCTCTCACAGACCATGTCATCTCCCCTGCAGGACACAGGACATCATGCTAGGAACTGTTAGGCTGACCTGCCTGCCTTGTCTCCTGGATCATCCCATCTGTCCTGTAGGACAAGGAAGTAGTCATTCGTTATCATTAAATGTATCTATGACTAGAATTGTTCTGGTGTCCAAGCCCCCAGTGTGTTTAGTTTCCACATAGTCAATTTGGTCTCAAACCATGGCATATGATATCAACTTTGGATATGAAATGCTCCTAATGAAGGTCACTATTTCCTTTCTGGCATCCCACCCCATTAAAATAAATAAATAAATATTTAAAAAACTCAGCCTACTTTTAGGCCATGTGACATGCAGTCATCTTTCTATAGCAGTGGATATTAATTACATTTAATGCCTCTGAGTTTTGCTCAAACTGCTGAGTTGCATTTAAGCTGGTTGCCATCTTTCCTAGAAGGGAGTAGTAGAAACTCCTAGTAGAGTTGTTTCAGTAGGAGAACATACTCCATTTCAGAAACTTTTTGATGTTAGAAAACTGCATCTAATGTCAGTTTTAACCTGTTTTGGGCACTTACCAGTAGGTGACATAAGTACTGGCAAATAAAAAGATTGTGTGTTGCCTTTGTATAAACAGGACCCTGCTTCTACTTTGGGCAAAAGTACATGAACTTCCATGTTTTGTGTAGTGCTTTGAGACTGTAGATCTGAGGAATGTAATATGTACTTTTGGGGGAATAAAAAAAACATGCTCTGAGCTTACAGTTACAGAAAATGTGAGATTTTGACTAATCTTGATGCTGTTGTTTCAGTTTTATGAGACTTTAGTAGACCTTGTTACTTTTGCTGATTAATTTCTGACTATTCATTTTAGTGCTGTTATTAATTTATAGAGGAAATATATACATAGGCTTCCTATATAAAGAATTGTTGTCCCGCATTAGTAAAATAACAGCATTTTGTTTACTGTAATCACATTACGCTGCCTCACAAAAGCAGGGTGGCTGTGTGCAAGAAACAGCACAGGAACAGTGCTATGAATCTAGATTTTCCTTTATTTTACTTTTATGTGTTCTGCATATTAATTTTCTAGGTGTTTGTCAACCACATATAATTAATGCATTTTCTTTTTGTCTGTGCAGCTCTCTCTAATCAAACCTGCACTGATGCTGCTGATCATACTGTGATAGTTAGGTACTTTTTACATGTTAATCTTCAACTCCTTTACTAACCAAAAACAGTTCTAGCAGATATCCCAAGTCTGATGTTCCAAGCAAAACAGAATCGAAGTTGATTTTATTGTTAACCAACAAACAAATTCAGCTTGATGAGAATAATGAGGTTGTGTTTCTTTTGTTCTAATACAACTTCTTCATAGTAAGCCTAGGTTTAAATTCACTGAGATTTCAGTTCTGAAGAAGTATTGCATTTGTTTGTTGCAATGTTTGATATGATCTTAATATTTCTTTTACTGAAGTAAATAAACTTCTATGTCTGTGCTATTATCAGTAGGTGTATTTTCATCTAGAAGGCTGAAACCTACAATCTTTCATTACTTTCATTTTTCAGTACTCATGGGTAAGAGAAAGGAAGTAAGTATTTCAAAGCCTGGATCCCGTAAAAGGAAGAGACAAAAATACACAGATGAACATAGCGATGAATCTAATGAAGAAGAGAATTCACAGTCATCAGCTGATAGTAATTGCTCTTTACTGTCGGTAAGTTGTTTAAAAGGTCGGGGGGATATGTAAGAAAAAGTTGATATAAAATAGTTCTGTGATTTTTGTTGACGTTGAAGTAAATGTCTTGCATGTGGTGTAAGAGAAACTAGAGGTAATGTCTTGAGATGAGTACTTCTGCATGAGTTCATTCTTACCTTATTTCTTTTGGGTCATGTCGTTATTACAGTTAATCATAAAATAACAGTGTTCTGGTTTTATAGAACGAATGCTATTGAAGTTGTCAAATTAAAGAAACAGATTGTGTTTAATAGAAGTATGGTAGATCTGGTTTATGATTGCAGTAAAAGCAGGTAAAATATTTAGAAAACAATTGTTTGCTAAAATCAGCACCAAATACTTGTTTTGCATAGCTGACCCTTTCAAATGACTAAAAAATAGTGTTTGAGATGCATATTTTGATGAAAATGAAACTTGAAAACAGGGATATCGTTTTTTTTCTGCTTTTCTGTAATAGTTTAATTCTAATTTGATGGAGGATTTAAAAAAAAAAAAATTCTGAGAATGCAAATGCTCTCTTGTGTATTATAAGACACTGTGGTCAATTTTTGGTATGCAGAAGTCTAATTCCTCGCTTCATTTTCTTGGCCAGCATCTGTTCTGTGTCACTGGTTTGTTTATTTTTCCTGAGGATGTTGCTTTCTTAGAAAACATTGCTTTTCTGAAGCATTCGTGATAAAATTTAAGTTTCATGACAAAACAGTACTTCACCAGTTGAACAGTATGCTGTCCTACTTTCAGTTTCATTTCCCTCTTCCTTATCTAATTTAATTTCCGTCATTCTAAGCTGTGCTAAGAATTGTCACAAAATAGTATTATTCAAGTCACAAAAAAAATCTTTCTATGATGCTCTTCATTGCTGCTGTGACAACTATATGGAATCTATTCTCTTAATCTTTTATATTTTATTAATTATAAGTCACTTATGAAGAGAACTGAAAGTGACTATAGTTGAGTGATCAGCTTTGGTAACTGTTGTCCTCTGATTTTATTACATAACTGCTCTGAAGCAAGCAACTTTTCATGGTGTCACAAAACCCTTCTAATTTCCTTGTTGGTTGTAAACATTGATGTTTTATATCATAGTGTCATTTGAATTCTCATTCTATTTAAAACTGATAAATTATATCTCATTAAAATGCATACGTAACACCAGATTTAATTGTTAATTCTTTAGACTGTAGGGGAAGTTGGGATAATTGAAAGTATCCAGCTGAAGAACTTTATGTGCCATTCGATGTTGGGGCCTTTTAAGTTTGGATCAAATCTCAATTTTGTTGTTGGAAACAATGGGAGTAAGTATTAAATGCATCATTTCTTTGTCAAAGAACATTTTTGTTAATAATTTAGAAGATGTAATTTTTATTTGAAAAATAAATGCTAGCCATCTTTTAGGGGTGGAGATGGATTCAGTTTTGGACTTGAGAATCACACAGGTTCTATCTACTCTCCCAGTAGTTCAAGGCTGGTGGAAAAACTGGGTATTAAATTTGGAGATTTGCAAAAGATAATGTGAATATAAATCTTTTCATAGCTAAATCATAAATAAATGTATGTTTAAACTAAATGTACTCATATGTTCATTATTAAGTTTACACAGTAGTTGTCCAAGTATATGTCATGTGGAAACTGTTATAGGAGAAGGAAATTATAGTTATTTATGCAAGTTAACTTCTTTTGGAGCGAGATTTAAAAAAAATAAAACATAAATTTTGAAGGAGAGCTTAAAACCTTTCAGATAATTATAGAAATGGTAATTTGGTTTATTTTGCTGTATACATGTTTTCTGTGTGATTGTAAGGAAGGGCAGATTCTTTCTGTCCTGAGATAGGACATCTTGTTAGATGCAGATTGCTGAACAGAAGTAACAGAAGTTTGGTTCAGCATGTTTTTGGGGTTTTTTTTTTTTTTAGGGAAAATCTTAGAAGTATGGATGTTTTTTTAGAGTTACTGCTATTTTATATGTTTCTTCAATAAAGACAGAATTTGGACTTTAAGTGCATGAATATATAAGCAAACAAAAATCTATAAAATGGGTGAACTGGATAAAGAGTTACAAGAACTTATTTTTTTAAAGAGTTAATTGCTTCTATTACAGGTGGAAAAAGTTCTGTATTAACTGCTCTTATTGTTGGACTTGGTGGAAAAGCCACTGCAACTAATAGAGGTTCCTCACTAAAAATGTTTGTACGAGATGGAGAGACGTAAGTAAAACTTCCTTTTTAGTTTTAAAGTTGAACAGGTTGAGTGATTGTGATTTAGGTTAGCTGATCAGTTTTCTGTTCACCTTTGTTTTCTCTGTTCTCTTATTGGGTCTACTAGATTTGAATAAAAAGCATAACACTGGAGAGACCATGTTTAAACAAAAACCCCAAAACTACAAACAAAAGCCACATTAGAAATTTTACAGTAATTTACTGGTAGTATACCATTATCTATGATCTATCTAACATAGTGTTGTCCTATGTGTTGCCTAGTTCTTGTGTATTACTTCCATGATGTACTTGAATATCCTACAGAATTGAGTTCATTAGAAAAAAAAAAAAATCACAGGAAACTAGTTATCATTGTTCTGCGAGCAGTGAGGTTGATTCTTTTTCTGTCTTTCTTATGAAGACCTTGACATACAGGTGGATTATTAAACATGCAGGAAGTGGACTCATGTCTGCTGCAGGAGTGGGGATAACTGTTTAGAGGAATCAATAAAAAGTTACGAGAGGAGATTTAAAAGTTTACATTTACATAAAGCTGTAACTCAGAGCCCTAGGCTTTTCCTTTCAAAGGTGCTTGGAGTAAAAGTCTTGGCAGTACCTGCCTTGTGTATAATAATGTTTCAGCATTCACTTGAGAAGCAGAAAATCTGAATTCAGAACTGAAACCACATCTCATCTTTTCTAGAACACCTTAAGCATTCTGCTCTAGATTACTTTGATTAGCAATGGCTGTAGAAACTAAGCTACTGTTTTCTACAGAAGCCAGTTTGAAAACAGGAGAACAACCAAAAGCAACTTGATTCTGCAACCTAGAGATGGAGGCACTCAGATGGGAAGGGAAGGTGGGGGAAATCTGTTCTCAGAACTATTTGCTTTTGGCTCATGATTTATCTGAAGCATAGAAGGTGCAAACAGGTCAGTGTATGGCAGCCTTTCTGTCCGTGTGTCTCCAGTGCTGTTTTGGCTCAAACAACATAAATATAAGTTGTTCTAATTGGTACTATGACTGACTTCCAGTTGTGAGCTGTACAAGACATGAGAATTTTTGTGGAAAATTAAAATGTTCTGACTTTTAATTTTTTTTTTTTTTTTAGATTTAGAATTAATTTCAGTTATTGTCTTTTTTATTATTTTATTTTTTAGTTCTGCAGATATTACTATAACATTGCGAAACCAGGGTAGAGATGCATTTAAACCAGAAGCGTATGGTGACTCTATTATTGTGAACCAGCACATTAATCTGGATGGAAGCAGAAGTTACAGACTGAAAAGCAAATCTGGTTGGTGGTGGTTTATTTTGTTTTCAGTCTTTGAAGCTCTTTAAATGTTTTAATTGCTTTAAGTGCCTTGGGGTTAGTAACAGATGATATTTCTTATTTCATTTGTCATTCAAGGATGATGATGTCCATTTTTTTGTGTTTACCTTAGACTAAGAATGTTTTAGCATATCAAAAGCAGTTGTGTCAGGTTCTGCATAATGTGAGGTCATACAGTATTTGTCTGTGAAAATCTGCTTGTGTGATGAGGCTGAACATAGTTTTTAGTCTTTTTGAGTTTTTGTTAAATTTGCTGATTTGCCTAAATTCTGTCATAGAGGATTTGTGAGGCAGGGAGGAACTTCAATTAAAAGCCTTTCTGTACAAATGCAGATATATTGGTAAGATTAAAAAACCCAGCCAAAGAATGTTTTTCATTTAGGACTAAATTTGTGTTACAAAAATACTAATCTCATTTTTTATATTTATTAGAATCATAGAATCATAAAATGGTTTGGGTTGGAAGGGACCCTAAAGATCATCTAGTTCCAGTCCCCCTACCATGGAACCACTAGATTGAACAAAAGGCTAGGGCATTATATGTCTCTGTACTTTGGACCTATTGGTATTTTTCTTATCTTTTTTTTACCATTAGGGACCTTAATTTCTTCAAAGAAAGAAGAACTTGTAGGAATACTGGACCACTTTAATATACAGGTAATTGTTACAGTGTTTAAATTCAGTGCGGCTTAAGATGTCAGCATGTGATGTTATGATTCTTCAATTAAAGAGCCATGTTCTATTTCATTAAATGCGAGAAGTTCACCTCTACCATGTTCTTTCATGATCAAAAGCAATGTTAAAAGAAAATTGAAATTTATACCTCATACAGTGCAGAATACAATTCCGTCCCAGACAGATAAGTATTTGCTGTCATCTGTGAGCCATGAGTCATGTATCCTGTTAATAAAAGTCTTTATGTATGTAGATTTCTTTCATACCTGGAGCATTTCATTTTTTTTGCTGTTGCAGAAATCTGAGTAAGTTTTTACTGCTTAAGTGATTAAGGAAACATCAGGTAGTGCATATGAAGTTTGAAATATTCAACATATTCAGCCTTTCAAATAATATAAACTTTTGTTAGTATATATTGATTTTATTTTGTGGAAACTTCTGTAAGAATATATGGGGCAGTTCATTGCATTTAATGCAATACTTTGATCAATTAAATAATGTGAAATTAAACAGCACTGGACAAAATTTCTAATGCTGATCTTGTTAAAAAAAAAAAATTGAAAAAACAGGCAATGCCTTTCTAGACATCAGTTATCCTCCTGGAAACAGTTCCTTAGTTGTACTTGTTCTAATTTGTACTTGATGGAGCTGGTTTTATTTATTTATTTATTTATTTATTTAAAAATATATGAGAGGAGTATAAATCTTAATTTCTGGATCTGTATATCTCAGCTTATTACTGAATTGTTGGGCATGGAACAGGGAGATGGTTTGCTCACTTTCATGGATATGCAGTTACATGAGAACTTCTTTACTTAAAATAAAATTAAAGTAATTTGTTTTTACAGGTAGATAATCCTGTGTCTGTTTTAACCCAAGAGATGAGTAAGAACTTTTTACAGTCTAAAAATGAAGGTGACAAGTACAAGGTAAGAAAAATCATTTAACATTTTGATTAAACATGAAAATACTGATTTCTAATTTTTAGAGGTGTCATTTGTAGGAGAGAAAATTCAGAATTCTTAATCCTAGAGGTGGCTGAACACCTGCCTGCCAACAGGAAGGAGTGAATGAATTCCTTATTTTGCTTTTCTTGTGTGCACAGCTTTTGCTTTATTAGACTGTGTTTATCTCAACCCACGATTTTTCTCACTTTTACCCTTCCAGTTCTCTCCCCCATCCCACTGCAGGGGAGTGAGTGAGCAGCTGTGGGGTGCTTATTTGCTGGCTGGGGTTAAACCAGGACAATGATGTGTTATGGGATGGAATGCCTCTTTGGTTAGTTGGGGTCATCATCTTGATTGTATCCCCTTCCAACCTTTTGCACTCCCTGCCAGTCTAGGCAGTGAGAGGACAGAGTGCAAAAGAGGAGGCCTTGATGCTAAACAGACACTTCAGTGGTGGCTAAAACATTAGCTATTGCCAGCATTGTTTTGGTCACACATCTAAAACACAGCACCATAACAGTTGCTGTGAAGACACTTAACTCCATTCCAGCCAGACCCAGTACACTAATCCGATTGTAGCAGTCATCCATTTCCAAAACCAGTTTTTTTGAAGTTTCTTTTCTCTAAAGACATGATAAATTAAAAAAAAAAAAATTGGGACACTGCTGAGTTAGATCATTATTCAGAAATACCCCACCAGTTATTTTACATGGGGTATCATTCACCATGCATCGAGGTTAGGCTGAGTGGTCTTTCTATGGTAGTTATTTAAATGTCACTTAGTTAAGCTGCTGTATCTGACATCTGCTTCTTTTTATTCCTTTTTAGTTTTTTATGAAGGCAACCCAGCTGGAACAAATGAAAGAAGATTATTCATCTATTATGAAAACTAAAGAAAATACATGTAATCAGATAGAACAAGGAGTAGAGGTATGTAAAAGTTAAAGTAATTATTAGTACAGATCTGAGCACTGAAATAACTATAGGAGTTAAACTACATAGTTTTGATTTGATTAGTTCTCAGTGACTTTAAATTAAAAAAAAAAAAAAATCTTTCCAAGATTTCTTACTATACAACAACCTTTTGCACTCATTGAACATCTATTTCTTTTTTTCTTTTTTAAGCGTCTTCAAGAACTTAAGCTGCTTTACTGTGAAAAAAAGGAACGTTACAAAAGCATTGGGTTTGTGAATGACATGCGAAATCATCTTGAAGATTTGAAACATAAAATGGCATGGGCAGTGGTAAATGTCTTGTTAAAATGTTTCCTCATATGAAACATACTTTAAATTACTCCCAATCTGTTGTGGACATTCTGCTGTATGCTGATATATGCTTCTATTTAGGTGGGTGAGATGGAAAAAGAAATACAGCCAATCAAAGAAGGCATCAGAGCTGAAGAAGGAAATACAAAGAAGTTTGTTCGGAAGCTAGAAGAATGCCAGGTACATATATGGTTTAAACCATATGTCACTCAAGTTTTGTCTCCTTGACTCAAGAATAAAAATAATATTTAAACTATGATTGTCCTTTAGCTTGTAAGCTGTTGAAACTGGCCCTCTTAGCTTTTTACACGCAGCTAAGAACATTCTCATTTATACACCTTTTTAGCCATCTAAAACTTAACAGTAACATTTTCATTCCACGTTTCACTGGACAATAATAGTAGGATGTTTTGATTTTTGATGTTTAGTAGTGGGGTATGTGTGTGGTTTTCACGCTGATACTCTTGTTTCAAGTAAGGGTTATATTATTTTGACTGGGAATTTGAAATGAATAGCATTGCATATACCAGTGAAGAGTAATTGAAACTTTTATTGTTGAGAGTACTTGATGCCTATTTCTGTAGCACTGGAGCATGTTTCCGAGATCTGTC